CACCACCCTAAGGAATTCACGGTGTTTTGGCTTGCTGGCTTGGGAAGTTTAGATTGAGTCTAGAGAGACTCTGTTTGAGGTGGAAGCTAATAAACACAACAGAACTGTATCTGTACTGTCTCGTGTAGTTCTTTCGGCTGAACCTGACACTTCCCCTTTGGTCGTTAAGTGAGTAACCACGGCTATTAAGCAAGACATCATATGACCGTGACTTATGATTTTACTTCCACTTCCTCTATTAACTCTGCTTGACATGAACCAGTTGCAAAGCACACAAATGGTGATCACGTGATTGTGGGATGCTGCGATGGTCAGAAGTGTGAGGAATAGTCACAGCTATTTTTTAACACTGTTGTAACTTCAAACGATCGTTAAACAAGGCAGTCAGTAAGTAAGGACTACCTGTAACTCACAACCATGCACCTTACAGAAAGAAGAATCATGCCACCATGCTGCCATGAGATCCTGTCAACTTCACATTTGGTCATCTGACTCCCATCCTAGCCCAGTGCATCGCTCCACACCTTTCTGGATGTCCCCGCAGATATGGCTTCCCTCAATTTGGGTGGATCAGGGCCATTTTAGAAAACAGATTTCTTTTCTGCCGAACGGTGGAGGTCTCAGCCCTCCTAAATGAGTAATGCCTCTTTCCCCGAAATAGATCCAAACTCAGGCTTTGAGTCAGGCATGTGAAATATTCAAGGAATTCAGTGTGCCAGAAGAGAAGACTGTCAGCACAGCCGACCATCCGGCTTCCGCGCAACTGAAAGTCGGACAAAATGAACAGCACCTCCATGTAAAACCCAGAGAGAAAATTTCCCATGGGAAATGTCTGTGGCGCATCTCACCTCCTCCACCCTCGGATTTATGCAAGAAATCCGCCTTGAGGAATCTTTAGGGAGCAAAAAGGCAAACTGGTTTTCTTTTCGGCAGCCAATGTTTATGGAGCATTCAGTTAAATGGCTGCCTCTAAGGCCGTCTGAAAAAAGAAACAGCTAAACCAAACAAACAGAAGAAGAAACGAAACCCAAGACTAAGAACATTAATAATAGCATTCAAAATAATAGTAATATTAGAAGCTCAAAAATAACATAAGGGTTATATACTTCTGTGTATATACATTCATATGTGTATCCGCACATACACGTGTGTGATCTTTAGGATCCACCATCAACAGTAAAGGAATTATTGGCCACAGACTAGCACTTGTTAGAGCAGCCACGAAGGCCTTGGAATCTATTCAGATGCCATGATGTGTCTATCCCTATGAAGATCAGAATTGTGCAACCACGGTACTCCCTGTGGCCATCTAGGGAAGCGAAACATGGACTTTGAAGAAGTAGGATAAGAAAATTATTGATGCCTTTGAACACTGGGGTTGGAGAAGACTCCTGAGAACACCGTGAACAGCCAAGAAAACAAACCAACGGATCATCCAGCAAATCAACCCAGAGGTCTCCCTCAAGGCACAAATGACCAGGCTCAAATTATCCTCCTTCGGGCACATGATGAGAAGACCCAGCTCTCTGGAGGAGGCTCTAACACTGGGAAAGGTGAAGGAAGGAGAAGGAGGACGACCAGCAGCAGGGTGGATGGACTCAGTTACAGTGGTGATGGGGGCACCATTGGAAGACCTGAAGGACCAGGTTGGGACAGATCCTGCTGGAGAAAATCTATCTGAGTGGTTGCTGACACCAATTTGATGGCACTTAATCAATCAATCAATGCAAAGACCCAGCTCCCTGGATAAATCTGTAATGCTGGGAAAGATGGAAAGAAACAGAAGAAAAAGAGGATGACCAGCAACAAGATGGAGGGACTCTGTTACAGTGGCGAAGGGGCCCCATTGGAAGATCTGAAGGACCAAGTTACAGAAAGATTGTTCTGGAGAAAAACTATCTATGTGTTCGCTAAGAGTCAACACTGACTTGATGGCATATAATCAATCAATCAGTCAATCAGTCAATCAATCAGTATATACAGATATATTTCTGGTTTTCTCAACTGCAGCCTGATCACCTTCTCAACTGGATGGGAGCTGTCTAACACAGCTGGATCGAGAGATGGCCTCTACAAGTAGGGCTATACCACTCCCTTCTTTGGCAGACCCAATCTTAGCTCCCTCTCTCGAAACGGTATCCGTCACCTCCTGAAACCCGCCCTTCACTGCCCCCACCCCTGCCCAAGTGAGCTGGGGGTAGTGCCAAGCCCATGCTGCGAGGTGACCCTGTCCATTTCACCAGAATCCACACGTTCTAAAGAATCCCAGATCGTTTTGCAAGACACTGCCCCAGTTAATTCCTTCAGTTCTGCCAGATTTGAACAAATACCATCAATTTCATCAGCAAAACATTGTACAAAGTCTCTAATTTTATTGAACCTTTTTCCCCTCCCTTTAAAAAAAAAAAAAAAGCAATATACAGGTAGTCCCTGGGTTAAGAACACCCGGTTTATGGACAACCCGTAGTTAAGAACAGAGCCTATTGTAAAATTCAAGTTAAATACACAATGATTCGAGCTGAATACACAATGATTCGAGTTCATTACACAATACTACTTATACAGTATTATACAATCATACTGTTCCGGCTTACGTACAAATTCGACTTAAGGACAGACCTTGGGAACGGCACTCGTTCTTAAACTGGGGATTACACAATGATTCGAGTTCATTACACAATACTACTTATACAGTATTATACAATCATACTGTTCCGGCTTACGTACAAATTCGACTTAAGGACAGACCTTGGGAACGGCACTCGTTCTTAAACTGGGGATTACCTGTATTTCTCACCTTCAAGATTGCTAAATGCATACTATAATTAAACCTCTTTTTTCTCTTGCAACTGGCTTAAGTATAGAATAACAGAAGCCTCTCCTTTTATCTTCACAAGAACCACGAGGGCGAACAGATTGAGAGGGGAAGTGAGGCCACAAAGGCATCAGCGCGTTTCAGGGTGGCTGTGTCACCCGAAAGGACAGGTCCTCAAGTTTACATCTGCACAGATTCTACAACAAACATTTTTTTAAAACCCATCCCCTGATGTGCCACCTTGTTCTCAACAGACACTGGCATGGAACAGCTTCACAGTCATACATTGGCAAAGGAATTATGAAGATAAACAGGGAAATAGGGATATAAAATTCTGCTGTTCCGGAGTTCTTCAGTAGCGCTTTGCTATGAATTACTCACCTTGACCAGAAGTTCATAGCGTGGAATTCGTTGCACTGGCTTGATCATGAGATCGGAGAGGGCCTGTTTTTCTTTGTTTTCTCGCATGCTTTGCTGGAAAGGGCAAGGAAAAACAGAGAGAAATTTAAACCTCCCCTGGGATGAGCTGGGGTGAAGTTCTGGACATGCAGACCAGCAAGTTGATGAGATGGGGCTCTGTAAGCTAACCAACCTTTGCAGCTCACTTAACAATGATGGCTTGTGTGACCCTAGGATCTTGGCCAACTAAAGTGGTCAATTCTTGGGGCAAATTAGACCACCGCTTAGGGTGCCCAGATTCCTGTTCTAGCCAGTAAAATGTCTTGGTTGGAAATAACACTAGTGATCTTCACCTTTGGAGGACAGAGAGACACAACTTAGGGGATTCTGAAAAAGGTGATGATTTCAATAAAACTTGGCTAAATACATTAAATGACATTTCTTAGTGCCCTCCAGACATACTGCACATAAAGTTCATCACCCGTAGCCAGCAGCACGGTCAAATTAGTTACGGGATTATGGAAACTGTATTTAATATATCAGGAGGACCCCAAATTTGGAGGAGGTGGATTTAATGGTGCCCTTCAGACCTTTAGGACTCCTGCTCTCATCAGTCTCAGTCAATATGGCCAAAGATAAGGGATCATGAGAGCTGCAGTCCCAAATATTTTATTAGGCAAGGTGCCAATAAGCAGAAGAAGACACCAGCACGGTTAATGACTACGATCCAAGAAGCTGTAAACGGCCAGGTGGCTCCTTTTAAAAAAGAGAAAATCCAAAGCTGAGAACAGAGAGAAGCACAGGCTGGCCAAAGAAAGACAACGCATCAGAGAAAGTAGGAAAAACAAACAAACAAACAAACAAACCCCAAACCAGAGGCATTAAGATGACTTCAGAAACATTACACCTTGGCAAGTTTTATAATGAGAGTTATTTAATATGTTCCTGTTACGGTGGTCAACATATTTCAAGATGAAGGCAGGGAGAGACATTGCCTTTGTATCAAACAGTAAAAAGACCATGCCTATCCAGCCAGAAATCAAATCCCTTGTGGATTTCTTGGAATCCCACTGGATCCCAGTCAGGGAGGCCAGAACTAATTATCTGAAGACCGATCTGGTCATTTCTCAGAAGGCTTCTGTTCAACCACCCCTTGGTTTTGCAGAGCGAGCAGGGGAGGTGAAAGGCTGTCTTACCGCCAGAAACTTCATGAACGCCGGTCGGGCTTCTTTAGCAATCCTTACAGCATCTTTGGCATTGAGAAAGTTATCGATGTAGGCAGAATAAATATTCACCAAGATGTCTTTGGAAAACTAAAGGGAAGAGAAAGAGAATGAGCAAATCTCAGAGGTGGAATGACCACCCTGTTGAGGCTGAAGTCATTCTCAGCTCAGACACCTGAGGAATTGGCCATTCAGAATTAAACAGCAGGGTTCGAGTTCGTTCATGAATATTTATCTAGGTTGTCCTTCTTCCTCAGAACTGGAACTGTTTATTTTGTACAAATAAAACTGTTAAGACCCGTCTTTCTTTAAATGCCCACAGCGTGGTCTATTAAGGCAAAAATCCAACGTATCGAAACAGAATAAACTCTGCACTGCGTGAACATCTACATGACTCTGAAATACGTAACAAAACTTCACTCCTTTGGCTGGCATGCTATGAGTTTAACATCTCTTTTAATCAGGGCCACTATGCAGAACCTGGGCAAACATCGCAAACATCGTGCATGTGCAACTGATGCTCACTATTAAACAAGGTGCTGACCAGTAGTGTCCACAGGGGTATGGACGAAAGAGGGTCAAGATGGTGGCTATGATGGTATGAACAAAACTGCTTGTTTTTTGTGTACAAGGCCAAGAAAACAACAACACTCTAGACGGAGCTTCAATCGCATTATCATAACCTCCAACTTGACTTTTTTGATCCTACCTGCAACACCCCTGGCGCTGAGGATAGGAAATTCTTGTTGCTTGACCATCAGCACCAAAACCTGGGCTCAACCGACCTGCTTTCTGAACATAGTTTAATTACTCCTGGCGCACGGCGATTGTGTTCAGACGATCCAGAATGAATGCTGGATTGCTGCAATCAACTGATCTTACCCATGTCTACTCAGAAGGAAGACCCACTAGAATCATTAGGAGTCATTCCAACCTGAACAAGAAAGACAATTTTGCCAACTTACAAGAAACCTCCATCTGAACAACCAGCTGGCACATTTGACGCATCAGGTGGCCTTAAAACGTTGAGGACAATTTCCCAACCGACTGCTAGAATCAGATTTTGAATTATTTTGAATTATCAAATGATGTGATGCTTCTGAGTCATCTTCTGTTGCCTTCACAACGTATTCTTAATCTTATTACTGATGAAAACTAATTCCTGGGTTCAAATGCAAAGCTAGAAGGCTGCTCTTAGCCAACTTTGGCTAACCTCAAAAAGTGAAGCAGAGTTAGGCCCAATTAGGAATGGGGGGGAAAGCCCAGAGCTACAGAGTAGAATGGGACATTGAAAAACATCTCCCCCAAAGCTGTGGTAAACCGTATCTGGACATCAGCCAAGAGAACTGCTTGGATGTGTCCAAAGTCACCAGGAGTTGACTCAATGGATTCTTTATCTTTAAAAAAAAAATTAAAAATATAGATAGTCCTCTACTTATGAACTTTCAAGTTACAAACTTTCGCTGATATGAACAAACCTCCAACAATTCCAACAATGAAGGTCCCGGAAGTTTACGGCACGCATGTGTACGTACGCCCGGAAGTATATGGTGCACTGTATATGTACACCCAGAAGTTTACGGCATGCATGTGTACGTATGTGGTGCACTGTAAACTTCCAGGCGTACGTAGGCGGCACGCTGTGGTTGGACTTATGAACAAAATGGACTTATGAACAGCCTCTTGGAATGTAACCTGTTCGTAAGTAGAGGACTGCCTGTATAAGCCGTTCCTAGAAAGGGGTAGCCACAGTGATCTAACCCACTAGTGTTCTGAACATTACCACACCCAAGGTATGGCTAACTCTGAGTTTGGGCTTTGAACTAAAGAATTAGTACTGGAGAAAGGTAAACATATCGGATCTGGTTTCACCACTTGCTTCACCTGTTTACCATATTAACCCATTTTCTGAGTGCACCAGCCGCCCAACGGTAAACCAAGTGGCTGAGCCACAAAATGAATGAATGAATCAAATAAAGGTAACCAAGTTTTGCATGTGGTGCAAATGCCACAGCAGGGCTTCTAATGCTGGGTTTCACATGTTGTCTGAATGCAGCTGAGTAGTTTTGGAGAAATGATGCCAGCAGGGGAGTGTGCCAGCAACCCAAGGTCCAGATTCTTTGCAGTGACATAAAACACGCCCTATAGCTTAGGAGCATGGTTTGATAGGGAGCGTAATCTTTCGTGTGTTTGCAACCAAGATCAAGCAGAGATGTCCCTCTGAAACCAACCTTGCCTGATCTTCTACTATGGGGCATCCAGGGAGGCAGCAATTGTGATCCAAATGCCCCCATCACACAATCCTCTCTGTCCAGGACTCACGCAGCTTCTGGCATTAGGGAAAATCTGTTTCCCTAATGCAGGGTTTCTCAACCTTGGCAACTTTAAGAGGTCTGCACTTCAACGCCCAGAATTCCCCAGCCAGCCATGCTGGCTGGGGAATTCTGGGCGTTGAAGTCCTGACCTCTTAAAGTTGCTAAGGTTGAGAAACACTGCCTTATGTTTTGATCGAACAGTTTGTCATGTTCTGTAGTCTGATGCTGTTACTACTGTAAGTTGCCTAGTTGTAACTTTTATCTGGTTTCATAGATTTATTATATCTTCCTTTGGGATGGCTTTTGAATGAAAAGTAGAGGACACTTTTTTCTTCCAATACATTAAAAGCCTGTTGCTCAATTCATCTATCTAATCAATCGTTACTGATTATACAATCTTCTCCTTCAGGACTACCCATAACAGCATGAAAATCAAAGGAACCTCCCCTGGGTGGATGGGAGTGGGTCAAAAAAGTCAAGATGGTGGCCACATGTTTAAATCTTGCTCCTTTTTGATATGTGTTGTAAGCAGTTGTGCACACCATTCTGCCTCTCATTTTTGCCTCTCCATGGATACCCTTGGAAATCCACATTTCCAGAGTCTTTTGTACTAAGATGGACATCTCTGGGGAATGTTGTGCAAATTGGCACCTTTTTAGGAAGTTTGCCCTGCAAAATTCAGCCTGAACTGTATGTTGGCATCAAAGCTGCCGGGTTTTGCCCTGATGAGCAACAACTTTGGAGAAACGTGCAACCTTCTTTTCCCTCATCCCGGAGTTTCTCCTGCTTGCAGGTATGGAATTAAAGGCCCAAATCGTCAACGGAAAGAATTTGGGATCCCAACGATCGTTAAGATTGAGACTCATCTTTATGGGGCATGGGGAAATCTATTTGCAACTTCACCCAGGGGGGGAAACCATTTAAGAAAGACGAGAAACAAAACAAAGGATTTTTAGCAGGGAACCCAAAAATGGAGCTTACTTTTGGGTAATGATGTTTGGGTTAGAAAAATGCAGCTCGCTATCATTTGCGAAAACAGCCTGGAGGATGACTGGAAAACTCCCACAGACTTGCTGGAGTTGCTTGAAAAATTCTCAGAAATGACAAAGGCATCATGAGGCAGTGAACGCTTCCAAAGACTGACTGTTTATCACAGAAGCAGATTGCCCACTACTGAGTCACTGAGTCATCTATCTAGCAACACCACCCCAGGTCACCCCACACAAATCAGAGCACCAGAACTGAACCCAGAGAGTCTAAAACCCTAACAAAAACCCTGTTCACCCAGACCAGGGCCCATCTTAGTCCAGTAATTTGTTTCTTGCCATGGCCAACCAGATGCCTGTGGAGTGCTCGCAAGCGGGAGATGGACACATGTTCCCCTCCCACCTTGTTCCCCTGCAGGTGGGATATGAAGTCCTCCTGCCCTCAACCCAGAGATCACATGGAGTTTTCAAGGGTAATAGCCCTCATCAGACCTGTCCTTCATGGATTTATCCAACCTCCCTTTGAAAGCCATCTGAGTTAATGGACATCACCACATTTAAGGCCAGAAGAACAGTTCTGCTGGAACAGGCCAAGGCCCATCTTAGTCCTGGAATCTGTTTCTCGTCATGGCCAACCAGATGTCTCTGGAGTACTCACAAGCAGGAGATGTTCCTCTCCCACTCTTGTTCCCCTGCAGATGGGATTTGGAGTCCTGCTGCCTCCAACCGGGAGGTAAGATTCAGTCTTCAAGAGCTAGAGCCCTTCACAGGCCTGTTTCTCATGAATGTATCCAGTCCCCTTTTGAAGCCATCTGAGATAGTGGGCATCACTGACCCTTGAATTAGATATGCAGCTATTCAGATCTAAACCAGGAAAGATACTTTAGCACTGGCTGTCCCTCAGCAGCTCCTTGAAGGAGCCACCACTTTTCCTGGGTTTGCACAGCAGCTGCACACTCCCAGGAATATGTAGGACCCATGAATGCCACTGACAGGTGCAACAAACATGTTCATGCTGGATCCAAAGCACTTTCCCATTTCAGATCTAAGAGCTGCTTATCTTGTGGGAATGAGGTCCACTGGCATGTTCTCTACCCATGAGCAGCAGCACTGGTAGACTTCGACAGCCCAACCTTGCTCTTTACCTCATTCAAGATCTTTGCCATCTGCCCTTTTACATGAGTAGGAGTCTTCCTTCAGGAAAAAGGCAGGGGGAGGAGGCAAGAGGAAGATGGATGGAGCAGGTCAGGCAGAACTGGATAACAAGCTGCTTGGCTGGTCCATCCAAGAAGCCTTCTGTTGCCACCAACTTTCCACCTACCACAACAACATGGCTTGCAGTTTATTGTTTTTGTTTGATGGGCTCTTTTTTTTCCAAGCAGCATCTGTTCTGTGCCTTTTCCCACCCCCACCTCCTTACTTTCAAGAAAAAAGAAAAGGGGGAGGCTGGGGAATCACTGAGGGGTGGGCTGCCTTCTCTCCTAGCTCCAAGCCCTTGGAATCAAACCCAAACCATCCTCTCGGCTTCAGAAGCCCACTTAGACCTACCTGGCACGTTCTCTAGGCCTGGTGGCACCATCGTTCCCAAACACCCCTGGAGATATGATTTATACCCTTCTGTAACTGCCCCATGAATTGCAGAATTTAGCAGCTTGAGAATCTCAGGGTTTCTTGCAAGTTGCTAGTCCAGGATGCCAAAGTAAAGGCAGCAAACCTTTTGGTGAGACCCACTCATTCTCCCCTGGAGAGCCCCTTCTACTGTTGAAAGAACTAAGAGGAGGTATCTACATTTCTAGCAAGAAGAATGAGCAGACGAGTGAAGGGAATTGCTACTGAATCTCAGAAAGAGTATGAAGATCGGGATATGGCTGTTTTGTACGTGTCAAGAGCAAGCCAACATTTATAAAGATGTCACAGGAACCCCCGATCACACTCCCCTCCCCTCTCCTCTGGAAGTCAGAGGCAGTATCAGGGAGCTGTACTCACAGACTGTACTAAGATCTCTCCCACTTTCTGTTTCTCATGCCAGTTCTGCACACATTCGGAGATTTGCTCCAGGAACTCCTCGTGATGTTCCAACAACTCGGGAATCTGATCAAAGATCTCATCCACCAGCGAGGGGTCACAGAGGGTGGAATTTTCCGGCTGCTTCAGGGGCTTCATGTAACCCTGCAAGAGAAGGAGTAGGAAACCAAAATAAATGGATTAGAAACACAGGAAGTTGGTCTGACTTCATGGAGCCCTGATGGGTGGCAGATTTCCAAGGCTAAGGACAGAAGAACCTTTTCCATAACCTGCTAAACCTGAGTGGGTTAACTAAAAATGTCCAGAACTGGGTCTGGGAACTCCACATGCAACGTAACAAAACTACTGCCAAATTAAAAAGAAACAGAAGTTGTTTTTATCACTGTCACTTTGTACATGTCAAGAGCAAGCCAACATTTATCAAGGTGTTGCAGGACACTGACCGAGAAGATTTGAAGGGAAAAAAGCAAAAAATGAAACAAAACAAAAAACAATGAATGTTATATATCCACTGGGTTTGCCCATTGTGGTAACCATGGTTTGCTTGACATGGTTTACAGAATAAACTACAATTGGCTGGGTTTCCCAATGAGCCAAGCCCCAAACCACAATGCGGCTTTCCTCATTCACCAAGCCAACATTAAATAAGCCACATTATCAAAAAAAGTTATCAAGCTCAAGAGTTATTGTTGTCCCTGTCTATTCTCCAATGGTCAGTCCATAAATGGAATAGTTGTGCGGTCACAACCACCATCTCAACTTTTTTGATCCCCCTGTGGGCACCCCTGCCAATAGGATAAAGCTACAAGAAAGCAAATTCAGGCTGGACTTGAGAAAATGGAATAGGCTGCTACATGACTCTGTATCTTCAAACAGAGGCTCGATGGTCATCTATCTGTCAGAGATGCTCCAATGAAGGCAGTTGGTCAGATTAAATCAGTGTTTCTCAACCTTGGCCACTTGGAGATGTGTGGACTTCAACTCCCAGAATTCCCTAGTGCTGGCTAGGGAATTCTGGGAGTTGAAGTCCACACATCTCCAAGTGGCCAAGGTTGAGAAACACTGGATTAGGTTATCTCTTTTCTCAACCTTGGCCACTTGGAGATGTGTGGACTTCAACTCCCAGAATTCCCTAGTGCTGGCTAGGGAATTCTGGGAGTTGAAGTCCACACATCTCCAAGTGGCCAAGGTTGAGAAACACTGGATTAGGTTATCTCTTTTCTCAACCTTGGCCACTTGGAGATGTGTGGACTTCAACTCCCAGAATTCCCTAGTGCTGGCTAGGGAATTCTGGGAGTTGAAGTCCACACATCTCCAAGTGGCCAAGGTTGAGAAACACTGGATTAGGTTATCTCTATACTATATCTCTATGATTCTATAATTCTAAGACTTGAACCTGAGTAGAAAGTTCAACTGGGACTCAAAAAAATATTAAAGTGAATAAATACATCAGTGATTCTCTTTGGGGACAAAAGAGAATCACTGCATTATTTGCATTAATAAAGGATATGATTCCTTATAGAATATGAACCTACTATTCTCTTATACACATTCAACTTGATTTTAGAAAACAGAGGTAATGGATAATCTCATAATCACTGAGCGAGGGGCACTTTCAAAACAGAAGAGAGATACCATTTCTGAAAAACAGACTGTTATATAAAAGAGTATGTTATACAATTGTGATTTTGATATAATACACCCAATTCAGTTCAATAAAGGAGAGAGCATAAACATTAATTTAAAGAGGTTTAGGCTTGTACATTCATGCATTGTGAGATGTAGAAAAACATTACTAAAACTAAGATACGTTTATATTTTTGAGTTGTGTAACATGTTATTGTGGGGGAATGAATAGAGTAAACCCACAGCTTAATGGACCTTGGTTTAGTGGACTTAAGATGCAATAGACAAGATCTCTTTGTATTCTATATGTTCCTGCACATATGTAAAATTCCATCTGCCATTTTATGCATGTGTAAAATGCACAAAATACACATATGTAAAATCCCATTCTGATTTAACAGACATTCTGATTTAACGGTCACCTTTCCCCTGTTAGTCTGTTAAAAGAAAAGTTTACTGTATGCAAATCAGAAAGCACATGGGAATTCAGAGCGGTAAGTTATACACTGAACCAGTCATACATTTAATTTATTATTGTTATTGTTATTATTTCCAGGTGCAAATATGCAAAGCCAGGTCATAACCTCTAAAAAGTTTCAAAATTACCTTTAGTTCAAAGAGGATCCCGGTGATAACATTTCAGAATTTTGGGCGAGTCTGTAAAAGCAATTGTCAAGTGCCTAAACAGCCAATCGCCAAGTACTAAATGCACAGGAAATTAATTTCACAACAGCTGTTCAGATTTAACCTAAATGCTTGGCGCAGTGATGATAGCTTATCAGTCATGTTTAAACCCAAATTATCCCAAAACAGCAAGGAAAATATTGCATATATATCCGGAAATTTGGATCTAATGGTTTGGACTAGGCGTTCTAATTGTGTAGAAACTGTCAGGGTACCCGCTCTGTGTGTGTATGATGCTATGTAAGTTTGTGTGATCCCATGTATGTTATGTTATGTTTGGGCAAACGGCACCAAGTTTGTCAGGATATCTTTGTGCAAATGACGCAAACGGTGTCATTTGCGCTGTGATGTCCTGATCCGCATGACGCCATCATGGCTGCTACCGGGCGTGAGCGGAGGGCACCTTTCTAATCCTGCCAAGAATGATTTACCTGCATCAGGGTCCGGAGAGATTCCACATAGGACTGCTCTGTGTCCAAGAGCGTCATGGTGACGTGTTTCCGCATATCCTGCAACAGAACCAGAGAGGGACGTTGGAAAAATGATCTTTCTTGCCATGGGGTGTGTCATTCCCTGGATGTAAAGATCTCCAACAACTGATGTTGGAACAGATGCTGGAGAGGTAACCAGGTGAACGTCCCACCTCTTTGTCCACTCGAAACCTCTGTTGTGCAAAATGCCTTGACTCCTAAATACGCACTGTTGTCTCCCTGATAAGACTGGAATGGTGACGTTTGGCAAGCGGTGGGACTCTGTCCTGAGAGAGGTTCTGGGTGTCGCTCAGGACCAAGCTATGATCAGGACTGTTGTCGAACACCGAGTTGTAGAGCTACATGTCATGCATTATGGAGAAACAGTGTGATAAAGGAGGACTTCTAACATTCTCTTCACTCACAACGCTTCCCTTTCAGTCTCAAGATCATGACAATTATCTGAGCAACTTTCCTGCTTCTTCTCCCATACTTCCCATTACGTACCACAAAGACCAGAGGGATGCACACTGTGGTCCCAGGATCCTTGTCCCTCCTGCCTTTTAAAAAAGATTCTTTTGATAAAAGCACTTAAATCAGAATCTGAGCATCCACCCCAGCGTTGTATTTATTTGCTGAGATATTTAGGTTCCGCAAAGGTCCCATGGGACAGAATACTGGTGGATCTGTTCATGAAACATATTTCTATACCCCCACCATCAAAAGACTCTCAGCGGCTTATGTCGAAAAGGTACCAGCGAAAACGTCCCCGGTACAAAATAGAAAACGCAACAACAGTATGAGGGTATTGCAGTAAAGGCCTTAAAAAATGAAAATAAAGATGACAACATCCAATCAAGGGAATGCTTTTTAAAATAGCCTATGGAACTACATCAGGGTTTCTCAACCTTGGCGACTTTAAGAC